GCTGGGCTCAGTGAGCATGCTCAATGAAGGGGAGGTGGCCCGAGAGGAGCCATTGCAGGGGCCAGGTGGCCAGGTGAGCTGAGGGGTGCTGGGAGGGCCACAGCGGTCCCCACAGAGGTTCCAGGTACTCGGGGCCTCTGTGCCCACTGAACCCCCACCTCTGCCCCAGCCCACTTCCAGTGGGGGCCCTTTAAATGCAGGGTTCTCTCCCCGAGAAGCCCCACCCTGTCACCCTGGCATCCAGTAAACAAAAGGCTGACCTCCAATCTACTGCCATGGCTTCCCCCGGTGCTGGGGACCCCAGCCCGCCAGCTCTGCCCCCTCTGAATGCAGCCACCCCAGGTGAGGCGTATGAGACGGGAAAAGGATGGAGGGCAGGGGGCAGGTGGCAGCCCTCGGGGGGGGGGTTGATTTTCCCCTTGCGGTTTGGGACCCCTGGGCCTGGCGGTGGGGTCCACTAGGGTTCTCCTCCATCCGCAGGGTCCCTTCCAGATTATACGGCCCTACCATGGCCCCTGTAAATCGCAGGGCCTCAGGCTACCACTTCCCTCCTCCTGCCCCGTCACACCTGGTCGCTGACCCACTCCCCACCTCTCCTGCTGACCCACCACGGGCCGTTTCTCCCTATGCCCTGACCCCTCAGTCCCTCCCAGGATCTTGTCCTCCCACACCTCAGTCCTGGCTCCCTGCTCACACCCTTGGGGGTGTCAATACCCCAAATGGCAGCCCTCCCCTGAGAACATCTGGAGGTCCTTCCATCAGCTCCCATGCCCCCCAAGAGGCCAGAGCCCTGACCTCCTGGATGGCTCCGGCTCCCTTCTCCTGCTCCTCACCTTGCCGCCCCCACTACCCCTGCTGCCCTCCATGTGGGCAAAGCACTGGGCCTCACGCCCTGGGCGCCCTCTTCTCCCTGGCCCTTGGGAAGCCCCCAGCCCCGTGCCTACTCCGCACCTGCACAGTGGCTGATGACACAGCCATGCAGTGCTCCCACTTCAGACCCGGCCTGCAGGCCCAGGGCCCGGGCTCCAGGCCCTCTCTCTCCCAGCAGTGAGCTCCGCCCCCTTTCTCTCTCTCCTGCTCAGTTCTGACCTGGCTTGCTCTCCCTGAGGACCAGGAGCCACGGCAGGAGAACTCCCCCAGGCTCCCAGCAGCTGGGGGACCCCCACCTGCACCTGTGCCCACACGCTCTGTCCTCCTGCCACTCTCAGCCAAGGCCAGCTTCTCACTCGTCCCACCCCTTCCTCCCACTCAGGGTTGTTGTCCCAGCACCCACCTCCCTCCTTCACTGTGGAGTTTTCCTTGTCACTAAATTATCCCTCAACATGAAAACATGCCACTGTTTATCCTGCCTGAAACGGCATGCTGCTGTCCCCCATCTCTTGGCCCCACTTCCCTTTCAGCTGCCCCCCGTTTCTCTGCTCTCCATTCAGAGCCAAACTCCTCCAACTCATTATTTATACTCGCTGCCTCCAAATCTCTTCCTCCCATTTGCTCCTGAACCCACGCTAATCCACTTCCACCATCGTAATAGCTCTGGTCAAGGTCACCAATGGCCTCACTCTGACAAGGCTGAGGTCAGGGCTCAGGCCCCATGTGGCATGACTCAGCGTCGCCCCCTCCTCCCCACGCGGCTCCCAGAGAGGAACACACCCACAGAGTGAAGGAGAGACAGAAAGGGTGAAAGGATCCCTGCTGAATCAAAGGCCAGAGCTGGGTGCCGGGCCCTGGCAGGATGCGGCCACAGGGCAGCAGCCTGGCCTGCCTTTCAAGGGCTGGGGGTCGGCCAGGGGCCAAGAGCTGCATCCCTGCACCAAGATCCTCTGAAGACTAGGTCTTTGGGTTCCATCAGATCCATCCGCCAGGGCACCCTGAGGCCACGGGACAGATCTTGGGAGTCTACTTCTCCTGGAACCCATCCGCGGGGACCCAGCAGAGCCCCAACCAAACTCCCCTCCAACCTGGCCTCCCCTCCTTGTTCTGGGGCTTCTCCCCCTGGGTCCCAGGGTCAGCATGCCCAGGCCGGGAGCTGGCCTGCCTCTGGCTCCCTCCTGACCTCATCCAAGGCCTCTCCCTGGTCAGGGCCTTCTCCCATCCTCACTTCCTCTTGACCTCTGGCCTGGGCCCCCACAGTGTCTTCTCTGCACAGTGGCTGGGGTTAACTTCCACCAGCAGTCTGACCACACCAGCCCTGCCCCGAACGCTACCATTCACAGGTGCCACCTCCACCTCCACTGTGGAATCCCGCCTGAACCCCAGTGTCGTTGCATGGCTTGTTTGTGGGTCTTGTGCGGTCAGTGTGACCAAATTACCCACTTCTCTCCCATCTGGAAACTTCTGCCCAATAGAATTCCTTAAAGGAGCTCTGTTGGCACAGTGGTTAAAGCACTCAGATGCTAACCAAAAGGTCGGCAATTCAACCCAGCAGCACTTTGCAGGAGAAAGATGAGGCAGTCAGCTTCCCTAAAGATGGACAGCCTTAGAAACCCTGTGGGAAGTTCCACTCTGTCCTCTAGGGGCGCTGTGGGTCAGAATGGA